AAAAAGGGAAAAAAAAAATATGAACCCATATTTTAGTATTGAGCCCTTATCACCTTATTGTTTTACATTTAAATTTTAATCATACATAATTTATCTTGGCACATGATATGAGGATAGATTCTAATCTTGCTTGAATAGCCAGTCCTGACACTATGAATAATTCATCCATTTTACACTTACTTGAAATAACATCCTTATCGTATATTAAATTTTTATGTTTTTCTTTCTTCTCCTATATCTCAGAAGAATGTCCAGAGGACCTCAATTTAGTTGACTCTTTCAACTCTATGGAAAGCCTAGTTGCATTATGAGATAGCCACAGTAAGAGAGAAATACTAACATTTTACATACACGTATCTATTTCTAGACTGATAAGCCTCTTTCACTGATCATTGGTCTATTTCTACTTGGATATTCCAGTATTTCCTGTGAGGTTACACTTTTATATTGCCCTACCTGGAGAAGTCTACCATTGCTTCAAATGACCTACTCACCCTCATACATTTTCCTGTTAATTTGTTTCTTAACATTATCCCATACCTACTATGTACCACGCACTATGCTAAGCAGTAAAACAGACAAATGCAACTCTGCATAATATAGCATATCTAGTGGAAGACAACCTTTAAATAAATATTTCCACCAATAATTCATTGCAGTTGTGTCTGGTACTATGACATGTAGTTACCCTTTCCAGCTGAAAAATCTTGTTTCCAGATATGTTCATTTCTTTATACACCTAGCACTGCCCAGGAGAGCTCGTTCCAATTTCTAATAAGAAAGACAGAAAGGACCCTTAAAGTTATCTTCAGAGTATTTACAAGATACACTAGGCTAATGTGAGGTGTAGGAAAGTGTAGGATTCAAAGAGAACCCAAAAACATTAGAAAAAGTTTCATCAGCTCTATAGAATCAGAGATGGTCCTTATACTCTTAGGTCTCTTTCCTGAACAAAAGTCAAGCCCGTGGCAGATGAGATCCCAAACAAGTTTAGTAAAACCAAAAATGGACAGAAAGGTGACTTCAGCCTAGTACCATTTTGACCTTTGAAAGGGAAAACCAGTTACTGCCTTTCTTTGTCCTGTGTCCTCCTATTTTTTCTGTGATGTCCCTATTTTCAACATTTGATAGGTTTCAAACTATGGGCAACTGTGTGGAACAGTTTTAATAGCTGAAACAAAAAGTTTTGCTTTATGGAAAAAAAAAAACCTAAAACCTAATTTTCTCAACGAGTAAATTCTACACGCATTATGTGCCTGCA